TTTAGTTCAGCATTCTTGGCCAGCATAGAAAGGACCTCGGAGTGAATGACCTTCAATGTCGCTTTAAAGTCGGCAGAAAGACTGAGCGACGGAAGCGTCAGTGCTTGCTCTAACTTCGCACTCAAGTGCTCAAGTTCATCCTTGTGTCTGGCAGCACTAGCCCTTCCAATGTCCATATCCATGAAGGATACGTACTCAAATACCAACTCCTTCAAGAACTTCAAATCATCCTCTGAAGAAGCAGCAGGACAATCAGATGGAGCAGGGCGAGGCATTTGGACCTGCCCCCAAGAAGGGAACAAATTCTGGATAGAACGCACAATCCTGTCAGCATCCTGCAAAGAAGGTTGCCAATATTAAAAATCCTCACTACAATGAACAAGGTGGAAATAGAAATGAAGCAAAAAGAAAAACTATCTCATCGACAATCGTAGAAGATGGCGCGCCCTCGGCCAAGCTTGCAACCAGCGACTCATCCATCCGTAAGGACTTCCCCTTGTCCGAACGAGACGACGTTGCCACAACAGGCGGACTCATAGGAGTATCTGCAAAATTCAAGAGCAACAAATCAGAAACCAATAGCACGAGCAAAGGTAAGACATCAAAAACTGAATTACCTTCTACTTCAATGATTGGGGGGTTGACACCCTGGGAAGAAGGTGGCTCATCCATGGGTTGTGATGAAGACTCTGGGACCGAAGATGTATCTTTAAGCATGGTCCCATAACCAACTGGTTTGGATGAAGTAGCCTCAGCAGAGGATAATGGAGCAGGAGTTGTCGATGCCAAAGCCTTTGAAGGGGAGGCTGAACTTTTCTGAAAAGTCCAAAAGATCATCAGTACATAGAATAGTATCAAATGTGGAAAAGCATACTTGTAAATAGACCGATTTAATTATCTTCCTTCTGACGATAAGAGGGGCATCATCATCATCATCATCAACATCATCCTCCAGAATGGGAGATGCTGAGGTTGGCCGTTTGGGCTTGAAGCACTCTTGGCTGTAGTAGGCCTGGCGGGGAGAGAAGAAGATGGACGAGCAGGTTGTTTAGTACGACGAGAAGGAGAGGGGCTTCGAATAGACAAAGGAGTGACCAAAACAGGAGGAGGAGACGAAATACTCGGTTGGTCTAATGAATGAAAGGCACGATTAGCCTCAGTCACAAATAATCTGCGCTTCACTGATGGCCAAAGTTGTTCAAAAAGAGGGTGAGTAGCATGACAAGAATTAAAAGGGGCTAATGAAAAGTGGCTTGATAAATGGAGGTTGTGAACGTTTATAGCCTCTGCTTCCGCTTTATTAATGGTATGAAAACGGTCAATTAAGCTCTTCGAATAGCAAAGAGGAACAGGCCAAGTTTGCCTAAAACCAAGCTGACGGGCAAAAAATTGGGGAGCATAAATTTCTACCCCCGCTTTGGCATTGGTCCCAGTTAAGATATCATGGAAAAGCTCCCTCCCAGTTAAGAACTGGATCCAAATGAGCAGGGAGGTGCTCGCGCTATTTATAGTGGAAGGGGGATGTACATAGTTTGGAGTCAAAAAAGGAGGAAAAGGAAAGAAGGAAGAAATTGAATCTAAAGAATAAAAGAATGAAAAAATGTCCCTCCTGGACATATTTACAGGAGTCAAGGGCTCCATAGCTAGCCCGTAACAGCCAGCAGAAGGACGAGAAATGGATGGAGCACCAAGCGATGGAAAATAAGATCTCAACCACAGTTGAGTGAACTAAAGAGGTCTACTGCCAGTGGGAGATGCACCATTCTTCAATTGAGTTTGAAGAAAAGCCATACCTCTATAAAGGGCAGCCAAAAACAAAGAACATAAATTCAAAGGCCTGCCACGCGCCAATTCGTGCGCTATAGGTAAATAACTCAGAGAAGGCTTTATACTTGACACACACAAAACATATTTACAAAGCCAAACTAAAAGAAAGGCCACTCGCTCAGCATGGGTAGGCTCAGCGCTCGAATGATTATGGAGGGTCTGCATGCTTGAATAAGAATCGGTGTAGTTTTTACCGAACTGTGGGGCACCACCGAAACCAAGATACCTGGGAAAATGGTATCGTCCAAAGGTGGTAAATTCACCAGGGCCCCAACATCCCTTAACATAATAGACATGGGGCCAAGAGGAAAAATAAAGGTGTTGTACTCAGGGGACCAAAAACTCAAGGCAATCGGAAAGAGCGCTGAATCAAAAGTAGGGGGCGAATAGAGACTTCTAATAAGTCAGAAATCCTAGCGCTATCGAAAAGTGCCTTAGTAGGGCCATGACCCACAAGGCGAGCATGCCACCTACGAAAAGCTACATCAGATTTAGGCCAAGTACGAATACCTCTTTCGCGAAGTGGTCCCAGCGGTAAAGAGTTTAGAAAATGAGGGCCATGAGTGCAAGGAAACAGCTGACCCATCGCCGCCTGTTCAACTGCCTCCGCATTGTTGAAGAAAGGACCCAAGTAAAACTCATTACGTCCAACGTCGACGGGCGCGAGAAAACTTAGGGTTATGTATGGGTGACTCAGAAGTTTCTGAAAGTCATCAAAACTAAAGGAATCACTAGCTTGAGATTGTGAAGCAGCCATTGGAGGATGAACGAAGCTTTTCGGGGTTACGTAACAAGGAAGCAAAAGATGAACAGTGAATCGTGAAAGAGATGCAGAAAATATGAGGCGTGGTTTGGTAGCAGTGAAATGGCGTGTTTGGGTTTTATAAGGGTTTGCAAAACGACGCACTTTTTCAAGTTATAGAAGGAAACAATAATTGAAATTCTTGGGAGTTTCGAACGTCGCCGGGAACATGAAGTGAATATGGCAAAATTCAATAATTATTATTAATTCTGCCATATTGGGGGGTAATTGTTGACACATAAAAATTCAGCCCAAGTCGAACAGCCCAAGGAGTAAAGCCCAATTGGAGAATCCCCAAATCGGATGGCCCAAAGAACGAAGTCCAATTGAACTAGTCAAGGTGAAGGCCCAAACAAGGGGCCCAAGAATGCGGTAACGCCATCGCCCAAGTTTGCAAGTCGCCCAGAATCTGAACAAATGGAGTATCATACGGTCGCCCAGAGCTGTTATTTTACTCTCGTCCAAACTTTCAAGTCGCCCAAGGTATCAACAAACATAACGCATCGTGGTTATCAAGGAATGCAGTTATCAAGGCAGTTGTTAAAGTAGCCTTATCACGTTCCACGACTCAAGGAATTCAATCGAAAGCGATTGAACGATGAAAGATAATGACAGCAGTTAAGAGGCAGTTTCATGACAAAATGGCCACTACAAAGAAAGTGAGTAGTTATAGGACGATCAAACAGTTTTCAGAGTAGTTAATCACAAAGAGATCGTCTATGAGGTATAAAAGGGAGAAAGGACGCAGAAGCAAAGGACCGAATCCAAAACTCTCGAACAGAGAATATGTAATTTTCATTTCCTTAGTTTTTAGACTTAAACATCTTTCTTTCTGTAACTCGTGTGCTTGCGCCCCTTGGAGGCACGTTGTTTTTCATTCCCAATTGTAAAGTTCATCGCCAATAAAAAAACACCCCTTTTTGGGACTTTATCTCAAGAGGTTTCGTCCCTTACACAATCGCCTGACCCTGTTTAATTGTTAGTGACTTAACCCACGCGAAACAGGAGGAATTGATAATCATATAAAATATTACTGATATCATTACCATCCAAAATTATTTTTAAACTATATGGAGTATAGATTCTTTATTTCTTTACTTTATATATAGAAACGGTGTTTAGTAGAAGCATAGAGCATCAATGTTTATTGGTTTTAGAATACTATTAAAAAAATTAATGCTATTTGCAGTTGCTCATTATCGCAGTTGTCCTACATGACATATACATGACGGTTAGTAATTCGTTACATAAGGAAATAAAAAGCTATCACGTTAATATATCAAATCACTAACTGTCACGTGTATGTCATATAGGGCGACTACGATGGTAAATAACAACAAATATCATTACTCTTAAAAATGGTGTATCTGCTTATGGATTTCGAAATTAGGGATCTAGTCATAATACAGCCAGAGTTTTCAGGTGAGTCGGCCCATGGCACGATTGGAACCAATGCATCAGAAACTTTGACGGTCCAACCCATTTTTACATCTTCAATTTAGCTCTTAATTTCGTCTTTATAAAGAAATATCGATCAATCAATAATGTGGATAATCAAGGAGAACCCTTGTGCTTTTTCCTTCTTCTGCTTCAAAATAATGTTTTTTTTTTTTTTTTTTTTTTTCT